AGAATGTTTGTCCTTTGACAGTAAACATTAATTACACATCCTGTTTAACAAGACAGTTGTGAGTTTCTTAGGTACTTTTCTTTTTAATATTTATTTATTTATTTTTGAGAGAGAGAAGAGAGAGAGAGGGAGAGAGAGTGCAAGTTGGGGAGGGCAGAGAGAGAGAAAGAGAGAGGAGGGTGGGGAGGGAGGGAGACAGAGAATCCAAAGCAGGCTCCAGGCTCTAAGCTGTCAGCACAGAGCCCAATACAGGGCTTGAACCCACAAACTGTGAGAACATGACCTCAGCCAAAGTCAGACACTTAGCCAACTGAACCATTTGGGCACCCCTTTAGGTACTTCTTAGTTGAAAACAGGTTGCATTAGACTTGCTAAGAAATCAGTTTTGTTACTTATCTCCAAATTAATCTTATTTGCCTTTGCCAAATAAATGCCATGTTATAATTGAATAAACCGTGTTATTTTTTTTAAGAATGAGAGCTTCTGAATTGTTTTCAAGTTGATTCAATTTGAAATATTTATAACTTTTCCGGCATTAGAAACAGATGGACTATAATATTAAGACAGTTAAGCTGTGGGGGGAGGGGGGGTGGGCATGGAGGAGGGCACTTTGGGGATGAGCACTGAGTGTTATGTGGAAACTAATTTGACAATAAACTATTTGTAAAAAAAATAAAGTATCGTCTTTTGAAGAACAAAAAAAAAAAATAAAGTATCGTCTTTTGAAGAACAAAAAAAAAAAAAAAAAAGACAGTTAAGCTGTGTCTTTAAACAACTATTGCACAATACCACAAGCTTGTTTTACATTTGTTCACTTAATAAATCAAGCAAATTCTGTAGAGAAGGCTTTGTCTAATGGCCATAATAATTTGCACCCATTTATCCTACCTGTTAGATAATACTTGTTCTAGATCCTCTTCTATTCATTTTAACATTTTACAAAATATGCCATTTTTAAATCAATTTATTATTTGGAAATAATCCCAAGTTTATAAAAAGTTGCAAAAATAAAAATAGTACCAATGAATACCCATACACTCATTATGCAGATCTGCCCGCCCCCCACTGCCAACATTTTATTCTATTATATATGGCTGTACTTCAAGACTCTTTACTCTTAAATAATTCAAAGTGTATTTCCCAAAAATAGGGGTAGCCTATCAAATAATCAATTACATAATCTATGGTCCAAATTCCAATATTATTAGTTAATCTACTAATGTCCTTTATGCTATTTCTCCCTCTAATAGAGGGCCCACTCTAGGGTCAGGTACAGTATTTAGTTGTAATGTTGCCTCAGCCTCCTTTCGTCTGAAATAGTTCCACAGTCTTTACTGGCCTTTCATGACATTAACATTACTGAAGAATATTGTCCCATCTACCTTTTTATTCTTCATTTTATTATTGTCTGATGTGTCCATGTGATTAAATATATTCTCAGCCAGTGCATGCATAGGCTATGTTATGTCCTTTTAAGGTTATCACAGCTGGAGCCCAATAACTTCTGTTTGTCCCTCATTAGAAATAATTTTGATCACCTGGTCATCTGACTTCTGCTTTGTACTTATTGCTATTTAAATTCCTCCTTACAATAAGCAATATGTAAGAAGACACTAAAAATCCATATAAATATCCCACTGCTAAGCAAAATTTCCCTCTGAATTTAAGCAAAATTTTCCCTCTGTTGATGATGCTTGCCTCATCCAATCTTCACTATGATGGTTTGAAAATTTATGGTTTTTTTCACTAGAGAACAGTCAGTCCTTGGCATTCTAGTATAAGCAAAAACACTTCTTTCTTCTCCATTTATCTTTCATCAGTATGGACTCATGAATTTCTATGCTTTTCAAGAGTTTAGAATTAATCACTGTACTTAATTACTTTGTTGTTTAAATTATCCCAGATTTGGCCAGTAGAAGCCTTTCAAAGCTAGCTCCTGCATCCTTATGACTCTTTTTTTGGTAGCATTTCATTCCTATCTGGTATAATAAGATGTTCCAGAACCATCTTGATCCAAACCCATTCCAATTTCTGCAATCAGCCATTTTTCTAAGGAGCTCTACTTCCTTTTGGCGGAGAATAGTATTAGAAATCAGGATTTGGGTGATATATGTCCTCAGTCCTACTGTGGGGGGAGAGAGGGTCTTTACTTCTTGGCTTTTTCTACCTCAGCTAGGAAACCTATGAATACCTATGCATACAAATATGCATATATACATAAATATATAAAAATACATGAACATATAAAGATATGCATACACCCAATTTTTTTAGAAATCAAGGGTCCACACTGAAATTCCGAATTATAACTCATACCTACAGTGTTTTTTCTTGCTTTTCTATATTCCACATTTGTCCCTTCTTCTACAAAAAGACTCCTGATTTCCAACATCATATTTATTCAACTGTTGAGTCCAATATTATATCCTCAATAGTTTCAGAATTTCTTCTCCAATACTACTATAATAAATAAAACTACTAAGAAGAGTTCAGAATTCATTTCTAATTCTAATCCCCCAAAGGATTGAGAACCATTGTTCTATGCCCTGTCCTTCAGTGTCTTCCTGGATAATTCCCAAATCTACCCCTGACTCCATATCCTCCAAACTCTATTTTCATATTAACAACTATGTACTTGATATTCCATCTGGACAGGAGATCAATATGTCCAAAACTGAATTTTTCTTCAACAAGCCAGTCCATCCTTCCACCTAATTCATATTCTTTTAGACTTATTCAATTTTTAAAATTTGGATTTAATCTCCATCTCCTTTCTTTCCCTCACTTCCTAGTGCCTCATCTCTTAAGCAAAGTAGAAAGGACAAAAGATTTGGAGTTCCACCAGACCTGAATTCAATCTCAGCTCTTCTATGTAGTTGTGATATCAGGAAAATTACCTCACCTCTCAGAGTCCTAGTTTCCTCATCTCTAAACAGGAGAATAACAGTACATACTCTGCAAGGCTTTTATGAAGATTATAAGAAGGAGATTTTGCAAAGTGCTCAGCTTTGGCACATAGACCTCTATGTATATAGATCCCTACATCACTGCAAGATACTTTCCAAGATCTGTATGGTCAATATATTTCTTTCTCATAAATTGGTGTCTCTAGAAAACTCCAGAATCTCTTTTCACCCTCCTTTAACCCCAAATCGCAAGAACCAGAGTTGGTCAAATCCCAGCTATACTGGACCACAGTCCTAAAGAGAAACGATAATAAGCAGTTAAAAGACTGACCTCACTCGTAGATGATCAATTACGGTCAGTAGCAGTGCTAAAGGGTAGCTTGGGTGGGAGCCCTTAACTTTCCCCCAAATCTCCATCAGCACATCCACCACACCTAACTTTTTGAAAATGATAATTTTACATGGACAGTTTATACTTTGTCAATTTTATAGATACTGCCAGTAAGGCATATTTTTAAAACTTTGCTATTTTTATTATTCTGTAACAACCAGAATAGCCATGTCCTGGCCTTCTCTCTTTCTAGATATGCATATCTATCAACACCCTTCTTGATAGAACATACTACCCATCCCTTCCTTTCCTATTGCTTCTCCTTTAGGATTGTGTCACTTTATAATCTGTCCCATTTGCAGCCATCCAAAAACATCTTCCTAAAGTGTAGCTTCACACATGCCATGCTTCTATACATTAAAACTTTCCTTCACTTCCAATTGTTCAAAGAAAAAAAACAAATTCCTCTTCCAAGCCCTCTGCACTCAGGTTCCAAACTAGCTCATATATCTCATAGTTCCCCAAATTATAGCCTACATGTTAATTCTAGCCAAAATGGATTATTTGCTATTTCCCAAATTGCTCTCATACTTTTTTTTCATGTGGTTCACTCTTCCTGGATGTCTTTTATTATCAGATCACTTGCTTTTTGAAAGCCTTCAGTCCTGCAAGATCCGTCCTCAGTACTGCTTTCTCCATGATGGTTTTTGGTTTTTTGTTTCTTTGTTTTTTTTAACTTACACTGTTTTGGTTAGGGAAAAGCAATAGTTTTTTTTTTTTTTTTCTGTATGCATTTATTTAAAAAACACCACTTTACTTTCTATGTAGAATTTGTAAGAAACTGGGACTGGAAGTAAAATAATTGGCACCTGCTAATATATTGTGAGGGCTTGATACTTTGGCCTCCACAGACTTAAGTCATTGTTGATGGACCCTAATTTCGCTATCAAATAGCCTTGAACGAGTAATCTCTCTGGCCTATGTTTATCAGCAATTAAAGAGGCAACAAAAAAATATCTTCTTTGGAGAAGTCCTGCAGAAAATAGAAATAATCTTACACATGGTAGCCTGTTTGTCACTGTTGCTGAATATGCTTAATAAATGTCTCAGATGAGTTGGGATCTAAGAGAGACCAGATTCTATTCCCAACTCTACCAACTCCTTGGACCAACTCACTTCTCTCTAGGCATCTTCCCTCCCATCATGTGTAAATCAAGGTGATAAAACCTGTGTTCTCTGACTCTGAGTCAACCGGGATAGTTAATCCCAAGGCTGCAATGTCCTTGGTTTAGGCCCATACTTTGTGTCGCCACTAGCCGGCAGGATTGCCACATGGTTGTTTGGCCACTCCCTAGTTCCACCTCTATCTCCAGGAAGGACTTGCCTTCAGAATTCGGGACCAAAACAAACAGAATAATCCAGCCTGGCAGTAGCCAAGACTTTGGAATGGAGTCTTATCAGGCTATAAAAGGAGAAGGGAAAGCAAAAGTCTCCAGTGTTTTTGTGCAAAGAAGACACTGATTTGTTGCAAGCCCAAAGGAGCAACTAGGACTCCAAGAGTCAAGAGACATCTCTCCAGCCCATCTACTGCATGACAGATGCCCCTGTAGAGAGATACAGGTGACCCAGGACAACACCAGGGCAACCTTTGAAGAATTTGATGCTGCCTCCCTCAGAAACCACTTCTCATGCCTTATGAGATCATTGTGAAAATGTGAGATTTGGACTTGTAATGTCCAAATGTGTAGGTAACTCACTTTAATTTCTCCAATCCTGTTTTCTCCTTTGTAAAACAAGCATAAACCAGGTTTCTGAACTTGCTCTGTTTCCCAGGGCTGCAGGTAGTGCCAAATCCTAGAAAGAATATGGGCTTTGTGAATACAAAGATTTGCTTCAAATCCTGTTCTTGTCATTTATATGAATCCCAAAAAGTCTTTTAAGTTTCCACATCTATAAAATGGAGATAGAAAACCTTTTATTTCACAGTGTTTTCTGAGAATGAAATTAAATAGAGTCACGAAAATGGCACAATATAATGGCTCAATAATGTTAAATCTCATCCCTGATTATAAAAATATAAGACAGCATGGTTCCATAGTCATTAAAAACTTATACACATGCATAGAAAGGATAAAATCAAAACATGTATGTCAAATGATTAGTATTGACTTCCAATATGTACCCTTCTGTCACTTCTCAGCTTTCTAAAATGAACCATTATTACTGTTGTCACTTTTTTTTTATTGTGGTAAAATACATGTAACATAAAATCAACCATTTTTACCATTTTTAAGTATACAGTCTGTGGGATGATGTACATTCCCACTGTTGTGCACCCACCTGCCACCATCCATCTCTAGACCCCTCTTAACATTCCAAACTCAAAACCCATACCGGTTAAATCATAACCTCCACTCCCCCTTCACCTTGTCCCTAATAACTACCATTCTACTTTGTCTCTATGAATTTGACTATTCTAGACACTTCATACGAGTGGAATCATACAATATTTGTCTTTTTTTTTTGTCTGGCTAACTTCTTATTTCACCTAGCATGATGTTGTCAATGTACAACCATGCTGTAGCGTGTATCAGAATGTCCCTCCTTTTAAAGGCTGAGTACTGTCCCATTTTGGAGATACATCACATTTTGTTTATTGATTTATTCATCAATAGATATTTGGATGTTTCTACTTTCTGGCTATTGCAAATATTTGTTCAAGTCCCTGCTTTCAGTCCTTTTTATTACATACCCAGAAGTGGAATTGCTAGGTCATATGGTAATTCTACATTTAATTTTTTGAGGAACGGTGATACTGTTTTCAACAGTGGCTTCATCATTTTGCATTCTTTTTTTTCTTTTTTAATAACAACCATCCTAATGGTGGGATGTGGTATCTCATTATTGTTGTTGCATTTACCTAATGTGCTTATTTGCATTTCCCTAAAGATTCGTGAAATTGAGCACCCTTTCATGTTGTTAAGGAACTAAAAAAATTATTTTTCTATGAAACAAATGGATATATTAGAGAGTAGAATATAACAGTCATATAAATTTTCAAGTTTTTCAAGTTAAACCATGAGACTTCATAGAAATTTCCCATATTTGGTGGGCATCTTTGATCTACACTCCTGGATTTCCCAGGAGATGCCATTCATTCTCATTCCTTCAATTCTCCTCCACCATGGGGATGGGTCAAGGGACAGTTTGAAAAAAGCCTTCTTGTCCCTGAGTTCAATCGGGAGAAGAGAGAGTGTAATAAGTCAGGAAGGCCACAGCTACCTTACTAGATAGTATTTAATAAGAGAAAGTTTCCAGGGGTACTTGGGTGGCTCAGTGGGTTAAGTGACTGTTAGTTTTGGCTCAGATCATAATCTCACGGTCTGTGGGATCAAGCCCCACTTTGGGTTCTGTGCCAACAGTGTGGAGCCTGCTTGGGATTCTCTGTCTCTGTCTCCTTCTCTCTCTGTCCCTCCCCTGATTGCTCTCTCACTCTCTCTCACAATAAATAATTTTTTTTAACAAAGGGAGAACATTTCCAAAGGAAAGTCAGCCCAAAATTAAAATGAAATCAATTTAATAAATATGTAAGGCATATGGAAGGAAACTGTTCTGCATGCGAGTGATCAAGTTACTCTTCATGAAGTAGTAAGTAAAACAGACATAGCCTAATGAGTATCACTGATGGAACAGAGGACCACAGGAGAGTGTTACAGGAGGATCTAAAACTAAGGAGTGAAGGAAGCACAGAGCCAGATGCTGAAGTGATATGTCACAGAGGGAGACAGACCAGGAGCTAAAAGGAACACATAGAGCAGCAATTCCTAAACATCTGTCTGTGGACAAATGGTAGCTAGTCAGCAGTAAAAAGAGATCTCCTGAGTTTTTTATAAAGCCAAATTTACTCCATATGGGAACTACCATTAGAGATTAAATGTCCTTTCTTTCATAAAATAAAAAATAGTCTTAATGAACCAAAATAAAAGGTGCAAGCTCACATCACTTCTCAAATTTTATTGTGACTTTTTTGTTGTTGTTGTTCTGTGACATCTCAGTTCTCCCAGCACTCTAGGAATTGCCAGCAAGGATCAAGAAGTAGGGATGGGCCATGGAGAAGGGCCAGGTAGTCAAGACGAGTTAAGGCCCTCAGAAGGTTTGGTTTAGGACGACTCTCAGGAACTCCAGCCTGTTCCAGACAGGGCCCTTGTATGACCTGATATATGCAGCCTCTTTCTTCAAGCTAGAGACATGGATTTAAAGAGGCAGGAGTCTGCTAACATCTTTTGGATTTTTCTGACCCAACCTCTAGAGAAGGGTTGGCAAACTGTAAGAGGCCAAATAACAAATATTTTAGGCTTTGTGGGCCTCATGATCTCTGTCATGACTACTCAGTACTGGCATTGTAGTGCAAAAGCAGCCACAGACAATATATAAACAAATGGATGTGGCTATGTTCCACTGAAACTTTATTTACAAAAACAGGCAGAGGCCTAGATTTGGTTCACAGGACAGAGTTTGCTGAGGGGTACTCTCAAGAGCCGAGAGGAGAACCTTATAAATGCCAGATTGGACTCAGAAATAAAAATAGATCCCGGTCATTTTATAGACATGGAATTTGTGGCATACAAAAACTTGTGGTTTTGAGTGCAGCTTAAATAGATGTTTTCTGAGCATCATTATCATCATCACTGCTAGAATTTTATGACTACAGTTGACCCTTGAATAATGTAGGAGTTAGGGATGCCAACCTTCTGTGGGTTTGAAAATCCATATATAACTTTTGATCCCCCTAAAACTTAACTAGTAATAGCCTACTGTTGACTGGAAGCCTTACCTACAACATTAATGGTCAATTAACACATATTTTCTATGCTCCATATATTAATACTGTATCCTTTTCAATGAAGTAAGCTAGAGAAAAGAAAATGCCATTAGGGAAACTATAAGGAAGAGAAAATACATTTACAGTACTATATGTATATTTGTTAAAAAGATATCCATTTATAAATGGACCTGCGCAGTTCAAATCCATTTTGTTCAAGGATCAACTGTAATTGCTATACATCAAGCAATGTACTAAAAATACCATACGAATTAGTTTACTTAACTCTCGCAAGCACACTATATGTTGATATCACCAGAATTTTCACTTTATAGCTAAGAGAATTGAGGAGTTGGGAGATCCAATAACTAGCTTAGGCCCCCTCAGTTGGTGAACAGTGGGGCTGTGTTTCATAAAGCAGAACATGGACTTCTGCTTCCAGTCATGGTGAGATGAGATTTACCTTCCCACCTTACACAACTAAAAAACTGAACACAATCTATGGAACAATGGTTTTCAGACATTCAGTAATTGGCAGAGCAGGACAATGATCCCAGTGAGAAGGTAAATCAAGAGGTAAGCCCTAGGATGCCCCAACTTACTATCTGCAGAATTTCCAGGTAATAACAAAGGAAAGGGGTTGAGGACACAGAGCATAGATGGAGTTCCCAGAGGCCAAAGCAGGTAAAGGAACTGAAGAAGAGAGAGCTGCACAGAAGGAGACTCCAGAGAGATACAAAGGATTCCCCTTGTATCTTTAGCTGAGTGCTCATCAGCACATGCGTGTAAAGAAACTGCTGACCCAGGGAGAGAATGATCAAAGAGGAGTACTTCCCCGGGCTCACCAAGGGTTGGGAATATTTTATGTTCCTTCCAGCCAGAGTAAAAAGATCTTTTAATATTTGCCTCCTCAAAAGATATCACCTTAGTCGTAGGGTTGTATCAACTCTACACTAAAGGCCATTCAGGATCTGCCTAAGAAAAATTAAAAGCAAGTCAAAAGGATCAATTTGTTTCCAAGAAATTCAAAAAAGCCTAAAAAAACATTTAAAGGACTGAAAAACAAATCTGCAACCAGCAACATAAAATTCACAATGTCTTCCACCCAACAAAAAATTAACATGCATTCAAAGAAGCGGGAAAATATGACCCAAAACCTGAGGGGGGAAATGAGTCAATAAAAACAGATACAGAAATACCACAGATGATACAAATAATAAACAAGGAGGTTAAGACAGCTTCTATAAATATACTCCATATGTTCAAGATGGTGGAGGAAAGCATAAGCATGATAAGAAATTAAGGATATGCAAAAGACTTGAATGATAGAAAATAAGCAACAGCAATATCTGAGATGAAAGGTCACCCAACCAGTAAGTGGCAGACCTGAGATTTCGCCCCTGGCCATGCTCCAAGTTGTGGTATGCATTACATTACTGTAACAGTTTCATAGCAAAGAAGACTGATCACAGAAGGCAAACCAAGCACTATTTTCCTAATTAAACCAATTGGTTCACACATGCAAGTAGCATTTTAAAAATTTCCCTAAATATATTAGAACTATCTTCTGCTTACACTGCACCATGGGGATCAAGGCTCAAGTAGACACTGACCTGCATGATCTCTGACAATCAAAGTAGAGGGTACTAGGAAAGAAATAGAATAACATCCATTGCTACCCAAGTGTAAATCTAACCATACCTAGGTGAATTTGCTTAGTTTCTTTCTTGTTGAGAATACTCAACACCTTGTTTGGTTTTTGCACAAATGTGCGTATAATTAAAGTTCATTAATTGTGCTTTAGCTCAGTGACTACTCAGATGCTATAGAGATCTTCTTTGATCCATGAAAGACATAAGAGGCATTAAAGAAAGAGAAGACACTATTTTTTTAAGACTTTATCTTTAAGTAATCTCTACACCCAACACGGGGCTTGAACTTATAACAGAGAGCAAGAGCTGCATGCTCTAACAACTGAGCCAGCCAGGCACCCCAAGAAGACACTATTCTTTTTTTTTTTTTCTTTGTTCTA